GGCTAGTCCAAAAATATATATAAAAATCATTAATAAATTCTTAATAAAGTTATACCCTTGGCCTGCTACAAATGACTTCTGTCAACTATGCACAATAATGCTGAATGGTTTAAAGTAATAAAAATTGAATTACAACTATGAGCAGTGGATGTGTCTGGTAGATTGTCACTTGAAGGAGCAGCAATGGAGGCAAGAAATTCATCCACCTGCTTTAAAGAAAGGGAGTTGTGTAGGGTTTCCAGAGGGCAGATGGAAGGCACCATGGAATAGAGTTCAAAACCTGCAAAAAAATAAAAATAAAAAGAGGTTTCCAGACATAAGACAAGAGTGCAATTTTTGTACAAGCAAGAGACATGGTATAAAATGAATTATCCAGTATCAACATGTGCAAACACAATATTCTTGAAATCATGATATCAGTGCTCTGTAAGATTGAGTTGGAACAAATTCCAGCACATACTAGGCTCAAGATACTGCATATAACACTCTACAAAACTCAAGTACAGATAAATCAGGCTACACAAGATGGAGAGATATCTTTGTTCTAATCCTATGGTACTTCATGAAAATTACTAAATAGGACAAAGTAAACCATTAAAAAGACATGGAAATGTCAATATTTTGTTTACTCATTCCCACACCAATCATAGCACTAAACAAGAACTCATTCAAGTAGATGTACAAATCTAGCTAGGTCATGTAGATTTTTTTAACTGAGGCACTTTGCCAGAGAACAGCTAAAAATATTGGTAGGCCCAAGAGGACGGAGCATGCAGAACTCAACCTCCATCCTCTTGGGGTATTCTTGGCACAAGACTGCTGCCTTAACTTACCAAATGAAGGTTCAGCAAAACCAATTAATATGTACCTTGAGTTTTTCTTAATTTTACAACACAGATTCACACCTACCTTTATTCATTTAAAACCCACAATTCATACATTACTGGAAATTTCAAAGCTAACAGTTAATCTAAACCAAATAAAAAGTAGAGGAAGATATCCAACTCTGTATTCCAACATTAGTACAAACATATTGACATTTCATAAGCCAACCATGCATATTTGTATTACAATTAAACAAGAAGCATTTAACACACACATATACTTAATACTGCAGTTTTATAAACAGATGTAAGTTTGATAGCTCTCAATGAAAACCTGCATCCAAAAAGCATTTTGAAGGGAAAAATTTGTCCACATTAGCATTTCCATATACAGCTGCAACATTATAATTTTGCAGTTCAATGCTATAAATTGCTATATTTCTTCCAAGATGTCTATTTAAATGAAAAGACAATACTTAATGAAAGAATGTTTTAAGTTTCAGTTCAAGGTACATTTTTCAAAGATATCAGTATAGTGTAAACTTCCTTTCTTCTAAAATATTACTAAGCATTTACACACCTCTGATACCCAAGCTTGTCTTCATTTAGTAGTTTACATAAAATAATAATTCTAGATAATTTAACACAAGAACTTCTGAATTCATATTTGGACCCACCCCAACCACTCTTGGATTAATGAGATCCAATCCTGCTAATGAGATCCAATCCAAATAGCTGAAATTTACTTAATCAGCTCCACTTATACAACAGCTATAAAGTTGCATTTCATGGAAGCTCAGTTTTCATGTGCAAAAGAAATCACTGCATACCTTTGTGTATACCTTTTTATTAGGATAGCAGTTAAACTTCAGTATAAGCACTAAAATAAATATTTGGCATAAATGTTAAGATTCTTTAAAAATAAATAAATAAATAAAAAAAGCATGCATGCAAAGCGTAAACCCTTTCTTTGCATTACAGTCAACTTTCATAAGACTTTTCAGATTAGCCTGACAGAAATACAACTACTTTTTGAAAAAAAATTGCTTTAAGAAACATTTTCATTTCAATCTAACAGTTTGGTAGATGACATCACTGTCTATACCTACATTAGAGAGACCTATTACTAATCCTACAGCATACAGCAAGAGATGGCAAGAAAAGATCTCCCAGAGAAATTAAAACATTATTATTGTTGTTAGAAATAATTAACTATTTATGTTCACTTAAAAAAATTCCTGCTATGCATACTATGAAACCCCCCCCCCCAGTCTTGCTTGATAGCAAAATTGTCAAAAAACAAAAAAGAGAAACTGTAAATAGGATTCCATGAGCTACAACAATGTAGTAAAATAATAATTTTAACAGCAATGGTTTGTTAGTCTATCTGGCATGAAAACCTATATGCAACTGTTACTTTTTAGGAGGCTATATTAAAAAGAGAGACTATTTTTAGTAAAAAAAAAAATATCTGTCAGTACCCCTTTAAATAATGTAATTTTCTGCAAATGTTAACTTCCCTTAAGTTTTTGGTGCATTCATTCTTAGTAAGCAATAGCCCCCTTTCAGAATGCAAAACAATGAAAGGGTTAACACAACAATTTAGAAAGCCACCCTCCTGTCTTACATTTAAAAGACTATAGAGACATACCACTGGAGCTTAGAAATTCCACAGAGGAAGTGGACCAGCACCTAAAGAGGTGTGGATGTTCTGAAAATAAAGCACTGTGAGAAGATACTTCTTCATCATGTTCCTTGAACTAAAAATGAAAGGGTGGGGGCAAGTCTGTGAAATGGGTTAGAAGTTGCAACATCACAAAGTTATGGAAATAAAGAGCGAGAAAGAGAATCAAATGACAGTCCAGAGGACAGACAAGACAACATCAATATAGTTGGTAAAGAAACTTGGAAACCTGGAATAAATTTAAACTTCATAGATGCACATACAGCATGCATTAATTTGTGAAAGATGTGTGGAAAAAGGGCTTTTATGAAATGAATCACAGCTATCTTAAGGAGTGCGTTAAATTGATTTTGTTTACCTTTTTTTTTTTTTTTTTTAAATGAAAACCTGCCCAGTCACGATAAGAGTTCCAAAGGGAACAGAGCATAATAAAGAAGTATTTAAAGCTACGGTAAACAGATGCTGTCTCAAACCTAGTGCTCATCTTTCCCACTTTCAACTCTTTTGCTATAAGTTTTAAATAAAGCACTTGCTATGTTGTTTAGATTGTGATTTATAAAGAGTAATGCCTATTTTTTTCATTTCCAAGAGAATATTAATCTCTGCCTTTTAACTTGCATAAATTACAGGTGTAAAGGCAAACCTTCCAATCTAGTACTATACCAGTAATGTGTCAGGAGGCAGCTATAGTGCTGAACTTTACTAACTACTCCAAGTTGATACAACGGTTAAAGTATGGCTCATGATTTAATTCTTCAGAAGAAAACAAACTGAGAATCACATATTTTGTTCTTACCTAGGCTTTAAGTAACAAGACTTCTGTAGTCTAAAAGCACAATGGCTGCTTTCACTTTATTTCCATAAGACCTTATTAGCCTCTCACTGTACTGGTTGTGCAGTTTTGGAATCCTAAGAAATCTTGAAAAACTAAACTAAGATTTAGTAAATGCTGAAGACTTGAGCCTAATTTCAGTGAACAGGGTAGTTACAGGACTTATTTATTGAGGTAGAAAGGTATGCACAAAATATCTCACAGATGGAGAGAAAAATATACCTCTATCTTCAACTGTTCGTGGGTTAAACCAGACATCATTAAAATATGCTATTCTTGGGATGAGTTAAAATTCTCATCCCTGAAGTTCAAGAGGTCAATGCAAGAGGTAAGCAACTCTCATACTGTGATTATTAGATGAACAGAGAGAATTAATAAGCCTAGAAAGGTTAAGTGGCATTTTTTTCAATCATTTTGCAGATTAACAGAAATGGATCCAAAAAGCTCTCACGTTTCTTTTACTTTTTAATCTAGAGTCACTTCAAGAAGATGGCTGCAACCTCCAGCTGTCAATTACCATGATTTACTCTAGAAACAGAAGCCTCAGATCTCAATCAGAGGAAGAGGAGGAAGAAGAAGAATATTAAGGTACTGAGAAATATAAGCCATTTAAGACCAGAAAAGCCTCAGTATTTATCACATACTATACAGAACCTGATTACCTGAGAAACTGGGAAGCAAGTGTAATTTGTAATGGATATTGTGATTAAAAGCAGTATTTCCATTTTTCAAAAGATTTTCTGATGAGTGAATTTTGAAATTATGGTTATATAAAGTGAATAGCGAAGACGGGATTTGAGACTATCAGCATATCTACTGATTATATTTGGCACTACACTTCTTTGAAGTCTGCAAAGACAGATGGTTGGACAATACTGTGCAACCGTGTTCAAAATAAAAATAGGAATAAGGGATGAAGCAAGGGAGTATTTCTTTTTTAAAACAAAAGCAAAACGTACCATTGGTTGGGTGTCGAGCAAATGAGATAGAAAATCTTTTAACAGCAGAACCGCGTGTGGTTTCTGAGAAAGAGAAAAACAGGTACCTGAAATTTGTAACAGCTACCAAAAGAAGGACATTTCAAAAAAAGGAAAGAAAGGAAAAAAACCCCCCAAAAAACCCACGATGAGAAGGTTAGAAGTGAATGGCATGCAAAAGGGACTAGGGAGAAAGGACCATAGGTCAAATATAGGTTAAAAAGGAGAAAAAGCTTGGTTGTCGATAACTGCAAGATGTTTAATGAAGTACATGGAAAAAAAGCAGGATGAGCTAGTGATTGTGGCATACAAAGTTATATTCTAGTTAGAATCAGACACTGAGAAAAGTGATTTTGGGGGCGCTGGGAAGGTGAAAAAACAAAATCAAACCCTATTAATACTATTGACCTCAGTGTTAACAGGGTAAACAGTGTAAACTAACACATCACCTGTATATTCTGAAGTCTCCTGTGAAAACCTGAACTCCACCCAGATTATCGTAAACCTGTAACCTACTATTCTTCTGGCCAAAAAGAGTGAGGAATCCTAAAATTTTCACCCTCAGTATTTTTAAAATTAAATGTAATTTTCATTGGTTCCTTGTAAATGCTCCATGCAATACATTTCAGTTCATCAGGTTTAATGATTAAAGAGCATTTCCAACTGAATTTTTTGTTTTTCTTTTTAATATATGCATATCCTGAAATATCTCAATGTCTGTTACACATATGTGAACTTGTAAAAATAAAACGATGAGCATATCATGAAAGACGGGAACAAGGATTTACAGTGCCATTGAACTGAACCAAAAAAAATTTTTTTTTTAAATTGCATTACAGGCAAGGAGGCAGCAACAGAAATTCATACAACTAAATACTAAGGCAAAGGATTCTAGGATTCCATTAAATCAGCAGCCTAAGGCTTGTCTTTAGAGGTTTAATGTGTGCACATGGGTTTGTGCGTGCATGTGCGAGAGTGTGCACATACCATCTATGAAGCCAGAAGAAGTCAGCTTTTTACGATGAGTACGAGCATAATCCTGTAGGTTAGGTGCGCTTGAAGAACCCCCGAGCACTGAGGTGCTAAACAGGCCCGCACAGTGAGACCCTGATGGGAGTTAGAGAAAATACATACAACAACCAGGTGTTCTTCCATTCACATTGGGGATGCATGCAGCATGCAAGCACATGGCTCTTACCACACAAAAGGCAGCCTTTGGCAGTGCCTTGGACAGGTTCACAATATGCTTGTAATGTCAGACTTGTAGGCTGTAACTATCATAATTTACTGTGCTTCTACACATGTCACAGCACCCTCTGCTACATGTGCAAACAGAGGACCGGACTTTAACAAAGGGACTTCATTTCCTGTTGTCAGTTTTGGTAAAGAAAAATTACTAGTTAGCATCAATATAAACAAAAAATAACAAACAAAAAAGACAGACACAAAAGTTATGGGTTGTAGACCTTGCAGATCTGAAACAATCTGGCAAACATGATTATTGCCGTTATTGAAATTAAATCTCTAAGACAGCAGGTGACAACTTTATACACTCATACATTTCCTTAGACTTAACATAGAAAACTTCTGCTTCCCATCACTCACGAACTGAGGTGAAACAAGATAACCAAAGCTGACATACAGTACTTTAGCTATTGTCACAGCAAATTCTAAACTTGGAAATAAAAATTTCGCTAAGTTTAGCTTCAATTCTTTCCTCTAGATACATCTTTGTATTAGTAGTATATGTATACTTCTGTTACCAAATCAAAAATAATCTTGTCACTAAGATAAAAGGGATTTATAATAAATTGTCTGGGGAAAAAAAAAAATAATTAAGCACAAAAACATGAAAAATATTTGATTTTTATTACCCACCATAATAAAAATCTCACCTCAATGAGTAAAATGAGAAAATTGATATTGAAAATTTTAACTTTCTTTAACCTCTACTGCTATCACCACTACTCCTCTGTAAAGGAAATGCTATTAATTGGAGGCCTAGTTCTGACTTACCAATGTTTTTCTATGCATAGCGGTAGATTTAGAACAGTCAAGTAACTCCTTTCCTTCACTAGTTACAGTAACCCTAAGTCAGGGAGCATTACTAGCACATGTGACCAACCACAGCCAATATAAATTTGGCACCTGGTCTGTGGCAAAAGCCTTTAACACCAAAACAGAATACCTTGAGCTATGCACACAATATATCAGTTTCAATAAACCATATTGTGTCACATTGAAAAAGAAAAGGACATTTAAATTTAGCCACCATGTTGGAAAAATTTACTTCAGTAATCAAGACCACCTGATGTATGCATTTTACTATGAAAATAAGATGTAAGAGTATCACAGAGACAGAAATACAAAAGAGAACAGTTTCTTAAAATGGAGAGATAGTAGGCCTTATAGTTCAATGCACTGAACGTGTGTGCGTGCTGTTTAATGTGCACCAAGTTATTTCACAAAACAGACAATTTTTTGCATTTATATAAACACATATACAACATTAACTTATAACACTACAAGATTTAATATATGTAATGCATAATCAAACAAAATAATGTCTGTTCCTAGCAATAGCAGGAAAATATTACTTGAATTAAAGTAATTTAACAGTATGTTATAATAAACCACACAGTTAAAATGATAAATTTGTACACTAAAAGAAAGTTGGGAGGAGAGGGGAGCGCAAAAAACTTCAGTCTCATTAAGAACTGAATTTTCTTTGTAAAAGACAAAGCACAGCAGTGGGGCAGATTTTGTTTGCTTGGTTGAGGGAGAGGTTTCCATCCAGGAGAATTACCTTTAATTTGTCTCTATTACCCATAGCAGGGAACACACATTG